CCGCCCCCGTAGGCGGGGCTCAGGCTGAGGACACAGCTCAGGGAGGCACCTACATGATGCACCTACCCCTCCCTCAGTCCCCTGCTTCTGAGGGGCAGATGGAGGGTCCCACGGCCCCAGTGTACAGATGAGGCATTTAAACCAGTGGAACCGAACTCCATCGGACACCAGCGGGTGGCGGAACAGGGGATATTTGCACTGCCTGCTTCTCTCACTCTTTCGTTCATTTAACCTTCCCTCCTGGCCCTGAGAGGAATCAGACAACCCCTTCCCCTCAGGAAGCCCTGGTCTGATGGGGGAACGGCCACATAACTTCTCAATGACAACAGGGAATCTGTGACACAACTTCACGGAGGCTGGGGTGCCCAGAGCAAGGCCCAATCCAGGCTCGGGCGCAAGGGAGCTTTCTGAAAGAGATCGGGTCTACAGGGGAAGAGGGGCTCCCATGGATCCCATCCCCACGAATGGGCAGCACAGAGGCTTGAGAGCCACATGGGAGGGCAGGGCACAGGGACCCTGCAGGGGGACCCCCCACGGCTCATTCAGCCCCCACCCAAATTCCAGGTTCTCTTTCCCCTCTTCTGATTTGCCTTGCTTAAGTCTCAAAAATGGGGGCGGCAGAGAGAAATGGCACCCCAGCAAGTGGCACGGGCCAAGCGTGGCTCTGCCCACGTGCCCCAGGGACCCCAGTGGCCATCTCTGCACAGACAGCATGGCACCCAACAGGGCGGGCGCTGGATACCGAGAAGTTGGGGCATCTCAGCGCCCCCAGCCTGGAGAGTCAGTTCATCTACCCACCCAGTCATGGAGCAAACATTTATTGAGCCCTACTATGTGCTAGTTATATCCACCAGTGATAATCACTTTAAGAAAACACAACAAATGAATAATAGTCTTTCCCTATATGTGAATAAGGACAGCTTAGGAAAGGGGTGGATTTTGGTTTTTTTGTATTGTTTGATTTGAGTCAGAGTCTCATTCTATTGCCCAGACTGGAGTGCAGTGGCATGATCACAGATACCGCAACCTAGACTTCCTGGGTTTAGACCATACTTCCTTCTCAGCCTCCTGAGTAGCTGAGACTACAGGCACATGCCACCATGCCCAGCTGATTTTTTATTATTTTTATTTTTATTTTGTAGAGACAAAGTCTTACTATTTTGCCTAGGTTGGGCTTGACCTCCTGGGCTAAGGCGATCCTCCTCCCTCAGTCTCCCAAGTAGCTGGGTCTACAGGCATGGGCCACCACACCTGGCTAATTTTTTTTTTTTTGTAGAGACGGGGTCTTGCTATGTTGCCCAGGCTGGTCTCAAGCTCCTGGGCTCAAGCAATCCTCCCACCTTGGCCTCCCAAAGTGCTGGGATTACAGGGGTGAGCCACCATGCCCGGCTGGGTTCAGATTCTGAAAGGCAGTCAAGTCCTGGCTCCCCCATTCAGTGGCCCAACAGTCTAAGATCTCAGTGGATCAGTGGCGGTGGTGACTCCCACACCTCCCAGAGTGGCTCTAAGGACTAGTGGAGAAGGCATTTGCACCCAGCAGGGGTTCCGCAGACCCGTGTCCCCTCTCCCCCTGCCCTGAGGAGCAAGCACCTTTCACTCCACTCCCTGGAATAGATGTTTAGGGAGGAGCCAGGAGGCTGGAGGAGAGGCTCTGGGCACGGGAAGACTTGCCCGGCTTCCCGACTGGGGCTGGGACGATGCTTTGGCCCCATGTCCCCCGGAGCGAGGTAGTGGTGCCATCCCAGGGGCTGACCTGACTTTTCCCACCAGGAAACCAGCAGGGGCCTCTTCGGGGCTGGGTGGTGGCAGGAAGAGGCGCCCTGCCCTGAGATAAACAACTCAAGGGAAAAGCTGGCCTTCCCGAAGTAGCTGGACCCCTTGGCTGAATCAAGGAGAAGTCTGATCGGGATGCCATGAGACCCCCCAGGAGGTAGCCTCCCAGTGAGAGAATGACTTCAGCAAGGGGCGTGACACCAGCAGGCAGGTGTGGCGACTGGAAGGCAGGCGTCAGGCTGTGCTGGGCATGGCCACCAAGCAGACATCCCTCTCCTCAGCAGCCAACTCCCCACAACATCCTGTCCCAAACACACACTCAAGCAGGATGGCTGCTGCTGGAGGGAGCGGGGTTAGACTCAAGGAAGTTCTTCAGCACTCTCTGGAGTGGATTTGCACTGGGAAGGCATTTTGAAGTACTCCTCCTTGCCCAGATGACCGCCAAAGGGTTCCCTGAAAGGGTCTGGCACCAATCTTGGAAGAGCAGGAGGGAGTATGCTCCGTGCTGTAACCAAGCCAGCTGGGAATCTGGGGACCTGGGTTCTGGGCCTGGCTCATCGTGGGATGTGGGCAGACCCAGTCCCTCTCTGTGCCTCAGTTTCTCCTTCAGATAATGAAGAGCCTAGGCTTGGACACTGAGGGCCCTTCTACCTCTGACTTCTGTGTGGCACTGACACTGGGCACCCAGACACAGGAGCCCTGGGAACTCCAGGTTATAATCCTAGAGCAGGGACCAGACCAAGGTCATTCGGCAAGTGGTGAGCCTTCCATCATGTGTGCTGTGACCCAGAAGCCAGACCACTCTGCCGACCATCTCCTGTCTTGCCCAGCCCTGGGCTTTTCTGCAGCACTGTCTGCCCGCCTGTCTCCTGTGGGCAGTCCTGACCCCCTTACTTCTTGCTTCCCAGCATGTAGTGGGCTGACCACAGGGCTCCTTGAGAAGGCTTGGTATTCTGGCCCGGTCTGAGCCCAGACCATGAACTGTCCACCCCACTGGCCTCGCCTTTTCCTGAATCACCAGGTCAGCCTCGTCGCTGGCCTCCAGCTGCTGGCCTTCCACTCGCGGTAGCCACACAGGCCTCTGGTGCTCAAGTCTGCCGGGTCCCTGCCTGACTCAGAAAACTGGAGGCTCCCCAGGATCCAGAAAAGGGAGGGAGCCAGATCCTTGAGGCCCACACCCTTGGCAGCCTCCCAACACTTAGGCCCTCTTGGAGATGTGGCCCCGCTGTCCTGGAGGGCCCACTGAGCCTCAGGCCCTTCTGTTGTGATCCAAAGCTCTGCTGGGCTGGGTGGCCCTTCAAGCCCAGTTCCATTCACGTGCTAGCCCGGCGATTTTCGGCAAGCCACCGCTTCTCTTGGCGTTGCAGCCTCCTCTTCTGCAAGCTGGTGGTGATCATTCCAACCCCACCTCTCCCAGCTGCTATAGGACTGAGAGGCTGTGTGTGACCGCACCTGCAAAAGCCTAGCCCACAGCGGGTATCCAGCGACCTGCTAATGACCCCCCCACAGAAAGTGCACTGATCATTCAGCCACACAACCAAAAAGATGGCACTAAGCACCCACTGGGACCAAGCCCCGAACCTGGGGGAGCAACGCCGAATCAGGTACCTGGATTCCCGCCTCGGGGGTACTCTGGGTGATCCGGAAGAGGAGATGGGCGCGGGGACCCTCAGTCACACGGTGCAGCCACAGCCGTGGGAGCCCAGGAGGGGTACCTAAGCCCCCACACCTCAGAGGCCATGGAGGATGAGTAGGAGTTTGTAAGATCAGCATGGATACAGGAGCGAGAGTCGGAGTGAGCAGGGCCTGGGGGTCCTGAGCAGAGCCTGGGGGGGCCAAAGCAGATCTGTAGGATTTGGGCGAAAGAGGAGAAGAAGCTGGGGGTTGGGTGGGGCGAGCGATGCCTTCTCTGAGGCCGGGGCTGCTCGGCTACACAACCTTTGGGGATGACGGGGCAGGGAAGAGCTTGATCAGGGAAGGGCGGCCGTTGGGTCTGTCCCTGGGCTGGCTGGGGGATGGATGGGGTGGGGAGAAGCCCAGACAGGCACGGAAGACCCCCACGGTGCCGTGATCTGTGGGGAGGAGGCTGGGATGGCGTCCAGGCCAAGCAGGCAGTGAGACCAGGTGGTGGGAAGGGCGAGGAGGAGGAGGCACACTGGGGAGGGACTTATGGGGGAAGGGACGGAGTGACCTCCCACCTCCAGCATGCCGGAGCCACCCCTGAGCTACCAATCCATTCAGTGACCTGGGCCAGCCCTCCCTTTTTGGGTCTTAGTTTCCCCACATGGGAGACCGGAACAGGAGCCAGGAGAGCCCTGGAGGTCCACCCTGCCCACAGCCTGTGGCTGCGTAAAGCAAGGGGCCTTCCCTGCTCCTGGAGGAGGGGAGCGAAGCCCACCCCCGCCCCACCCTGTCGCAGGAGACAGGACCCAAGCACCCTGCCCATCGGGACCAGTGGTCTCATCCGCCCAGGTGAGGCAGGTAACTCCATCCTGGAGGCTGGATATGCAGAGCTGCAGCGCCACCTACCGTCCACCTGGGAAGAGGCCACCAGTCCCAGGAGCCTGGCTCTGACCTAAACAAGTCCCAGAGGACTGACAGGCAAAGGGTTCCCACCTGGGCCCACTGCCTCAGTTCCTCCCACTCCCACCCACCCCCAGGCCTCTCTAGGCGGTTCACTGAACGCAGAATGTTTCCTTTACTAGTGGTTTCTGTCCACGTCATTCTCTTGCTCAGGAACATTGTATAGCTCCTCACTGCCCTCGGATTTTCCACACTTGTTCCTTAGCCTGGCATTCAAAGCCCTTACCATCTGGCCTCCGCTGACCTCTGCAGCCCCATTTCCTGTGCAGCCAAATACTCATCAGCTCCCTAAATGCTCCATCTTTTTCCTCCCCTGATAACTTTGCTGATATCCTGGCCACTGCTTGAAATAACTTTCTCAGCCTTCTTGGCTTAGAAAATTCCTGCAGTCATCCAAGACCAGTGCAAATGTTACCTTCTCCAAGAAGGCTTCCTTGACATACCTTTCTCCCCAAGTTCACTACTAAGAACAGCGGCCGCCCCTCAGTAAAGCTTTTGACCCTTCTTCCTCTGGGTCCCCACAGCCCTCGCACTGCCCTTTGTCCCTGCACAAGCCAGGAATGTTTCTGTACCCATCTCTGGCTCACTCCAGGCTCTGAGTTCCTCAAGGAAAGAGACTGTGTGACCCACTGCTTCACAGCATAGAGTTTGGCATCGAATAAATCTGCTTTTATTAAGCATCTACTATGCACCACAAGACTAGATGCTTTCCCATGCCTTCTCTCATTATGGTGACTCAGTTGACCCTTGTGGAACATGGAAGTCTTCATCTCTTTGCTCCTGCTCTTCCTGTCTTCCAAAATGCCCCAGCATGAGCTTGCTGTGTGACCAGGGGTGGCTCACTCGACTTTCTTCTGAGCAGAGAGAAGGATGTGATGAGGCCACCGCTGTGGCCCCTTCACCTGGGACCTATCACATCCATATTTGGCCCACACATGTCTAATCCTGATGTTTCCAGATGCTCGCCTCTCGCACCGTGACTACTGTCATCCACTTAGATCTGCAGCTCCGGCTGGTCTTCCAGGGGCCTCTGCTTCCCCAGGAAACGCAGGCCCATTCCCACAGACTCTGAGCCCTGCTGGAGGACGGGCCCTGGTGTGGTCTCTGGAGGGGTGTCGGAGGGAGATCCATGGCCCTGTCAGGGTGGCCCAGGGTAAAGCCACACCCCTCAGGCTGGAGGGAGGAGGTCTTGGCAGCTAAGGATGAACAGTGCTGTCTCACGGGGCCCGGGGGACAACTGGGAGCCCGGAGCCCCACTGGGAACCGGGTGACTAAGGAGCAGCAGCGGGACATGAGGGTCGTCCAGCCCACCCCTTTCAGCCAGGGTGCGCAGAGAGGCCCTGACCCCCCTGAAGTCACAGGGAGTCCACAGCGAGAACGGAGGTGTCCCAGTCCTGAGCCTTAAAATCTGTTACTTCTATCCAAAAGTCCGAGAGAAGTTCCAGGGCCCTTGTTTGGTTTCCAGATCGGCCAACTCTAATGGGAAAAAGTTCACTCCCTGAATATACACCACATGCCAGGCACACAGAATTATTCAAGGGCGGGATTCTTATCCCCATTTACCGAGGGGGAAGGTAAGACTCAGGGTGAATGAATGATTTCCCAAGTCTGCCGTGGGACTGGGGTTCTCTTGCGGTCTTAACTGCCACGCCAGGCTCCCGCGAAGGCCGGTGCACACAAATTAATTCTGGAAGACAAGACGGCAAATAACCAAATACAAGTTTCGCCCTTCTGAGACTCACGAGGGGGCAGGGGAGGCTTCCTGGAGGTGGGGGGGGGGGCACGAGGAAGGCCTAAGAGTATTTCGGCATCCAAGCTGGACAGCTAAGCAAAAAGGGTCTTGAGCATGACGATCTGTTGTGGTATGGGTGTCTACTTTTTTTAGAGTAAGAACTTTGCTACTAAAAATTATGCTTGGC